CTCCTGCAGTGTTTACAGTCTTCCTGCTAGCTTCAGCATAAAGGTTGTATTTTGTTGACAGTTGTACTTGCTCAATGTTAAAATAAATAATTGGTGCTGACAAAGTGTTCATAAATAAAACTTAAGACACTCTTCTGTTTATTAAATGATCTAAAAAGTTTTCTAAAAATGTTTTTAAACATGGACATTATATTAAGCATGTAAGCATGTAAGAGGTTTTCTTACTTTTGGACCCAATTGCCTCCAGAGAATAACTGTACACTCTCATTGTGTCTTACACTGACAAAGGCTTTCACCTTTCTCCACCTACTCACATTTTATGTTCTGCCATACAAATTAAAATATTACACCCATAAATAGTGCTTCTAACTAACCTGAGTGCAGTGGCTCAGGCGTTAAAGTGGGAAGTTCAGCAGTTTGATCCCAGTTTTCCCCTTCCTGCATGCCAAAGTGCCCTTGGTTTAGATACTGAATCCAAAATTACCCCCTTCTCAAGCTTTACACATACATGTATTGTATAAGTGTATGTGATGAGTGAATGTGAAACTGTACTGTAAAGTGTTCATCAGAACTAGAAAAGTGATAAAGATACAGACCATTAACCATTTCATAAAACCTTCAGTTGGGTGAATATTAGTACTCACTTTCTGAGTGAGAAGGCAGCACCAGTCTGGCCAGCAGCAGGAGATGAAGAGCTCCCCTGGTGAGAGGGGACAGCAGTCTGAATCTAAGGTCCATGCTGTGACTCCTCTCTGGACCCGGCACTGCTGCTGATTAGCTATGAACTCACACAATCGAGAGTGACACCTGCAAAGACACAAGAGAACTGTTGTTAAAGGTGGTGCTTCTTTGGATTTTATCCATCCACTTTATTTTATTTACAATAATGAATAAATTACATGTTATTCAGCTGCCCATCAAGGTCATCTATATATAATATTCATTCAGTTGAACAATTACAAAAAGTGTCACAGAAAGGGTTGAAAGAAAGTTTAGGGACAGTTAGCAACGTCTTTGACAAGTCATTAGGTGCACTTTGACAGGAAGCAGGAGGGAAACTACAGCACATTTCAACAGCATTTCTCCATACCATTATGCCATGTCTGCCAACAGCACAGCAGAGGATGCTGTAAAAACCGTCACAGAAAGTTTCATGAAAAGATATTGGTGTTAAAACTTCAGAGGAATTCACTGAAAAATGTATTCACTTAACAAATGTTAATGATAGCATAAACTATGAGATACAGAGACAGTTAAAACCTATTATTGACTAGGCCCTTTTTCCAGAGCAGAGCAAAGTTAGTAGGGTTTTAGTAGAGATATGTTAGGCGTCCTCTCCAAATGGCCGTTTTGGCATATAAACATTTTTCATTATAAACTAATTTATTTTCACTTATGTTACAATAGGTTTTCATATAATCTAAATACAACTGGAAAGGAAAATAAAAAGGAACTGCCATGAAGCTTTCTGAATAACCCTCCATGTACAACAGCATAGTGGCAGCTGAGCTCTATGTCACACAACTTGTAGAGACAGAAGACGATTTCTCAGCAGTTAGTGAATCCATTTAAATGATTGAAACATCTGAAGAGCTGTCAGAACCAAATGAATCAAGGGACAGCCATGTCAGCAACACCATTCTCCAACAAGGAAGCAAATGCAACGTAAGAAGAAACATGTTGTACCACATATTACTTACTACAAGTAAGGTTAAGGAATCATTTCGTAGCGACATATTATTATACCCACTAGCAGCAAAATATTTATTAAAACAGAACTTAAAAGAGAGAAAACAACAAATGAAAGACGTGATTTGTATAAAGGACAGTTTGAAGTGAACATTATTCTTTGCTCTTTTTCAGCTGCTCACTCAGTGAATTTCTTCCTAGAGCGTGGATTAAGAAGACAAGTCACTAATATCTTCAGTTGTATTGGATTCTGCAACACACTGCTCCTAGAACTCCAAAAGTGTTTTGTGGACTCAAACACATGTGAATCTCTCTGAGGGTTCTACCTTTTTTTTCCCCTTAGCCAAAAGATGGCAGCCTCCGTAGAGAGGGTCCCCTGATGTAAATCTAAAGTATTTAAATKTAAAGGGCCTTTTCTGTGGTAAAGAAAACTACAATTCATACAATTTAGATGAAATGAACTAGTGAAAACATCATGAGGATTATTCTACATTAAATATTTGTTAAATAGTTCCCTTTCACCTAAATCTTACACACTGGACCTTTAACAAGGTGTGCATCATCTGCCCATAAAGGTATAGTTCACAGAGAAATGAGGGGTAAACAGTGTTGCAGCCAAATTCAAAACAATTGAAGTAACTGGTGATCAATTTTTCAAACGTAATAAAACGACAAAAAAACATAAAATGCCTCCATACTGTGGTGTCATCCAAGTGTCCAGAAACCCAAAGCCTAAATGTCCTCTGACATCCTCCTCAGAGCCGTGTACATGTTTGCGCACACACTGGAAATGCACACAAGCTCTCTCCAAGGGCACACTCCATCGTTATAGTCGTGAGTGGAAAATGAGTGAATTTTCATTTCTCAGTGAACTATCTCTTTAACCCTCAACAGGACTAAAGAAAAATCATCTTTTAAAAATGGAAATTTGGGAAAAAAAATTCAGGCTGGGAATTTGACTCCATTCCTGGCCAACTTTTTCATGCAAAACCTATAATTTTGTAGGCTAATCCTATTTGTTAGTGTCACGGTTACCAGACTAGTTATACATATCGCCACTATGTTCATTGTGGAGGAAAGTTATCCAAATTCCAAAATACATAAATCTGGGACTGACCAACAAGTACTCTATTTTAATACTGAGTTTTTAAGCTAGGCTATGGTTATGGTTGAACCCAAAAACTCACTAGGAATACAGCATCCATCATCATTGCAATTTTCTTTGGTTGTTGAAAGTAACAAGAGTGCACAGCTCCAAAAGTTATTTTATACTGTCAGTAACTTACTGCGTCTCTATCATTTGTGCACTGCCAACTGTGCTGGGGTTGGTAAATTGTTTGTATTTATTTATACAAACCACAGTCTTGATGACCACTCAAAGTGCAGTACAGTTTGCCATTCACTCATTCACACACACATTCATACAGTGCATCTATTAGCAGGACTTTTTAGTTCTATGAGGGGCAATTCGGGGTTCAGCATCTTGCCCAATGCCACTTTGGCATGCAGATGGGGAAGTTTTAGGGATTGAACTGCCAGCCTTCTGGTTGGACGATAATGGCTCTACCCATCAGCCACACTATATATACGCTATATAGTACTCTGTTTTTGTATGATAAAATAATAATGGTAGTTGAAATCATAATCCACAATCGACTGCCACTATTCCTCTACAGTCTTAAATGTTTATGAAACACTGCACAACATGATCACCAGCAATGTTAGTACACAGAGGTGGGAAAGTAGACTGTGGCCTTGGAACTACACTGTCACAGTTGGCTAACAGTAGAGAAAGTCAACAGGTACAGTTTTACTATTTCAGTATTACATCAAAATCCCAATCATTTCCAAGCTGATCCCTAAAAACACATGGGACATTCTGCCATACTCCTAAACATGCCCAGTACTGTAAACGATGTCTAAAGGTCCTGTCATTATACAGCACAATTCCAAAAATCAACTGAAGTCTTGTGCTTCATCTTCATATCAAAAACACATTCTCCAAAACAGAAAATTTGGTTATTTTTTGATAGAGTTGACAAGCTGGTGCTAAAAATGAAATCAAACACAGCACAATGAAAGGCTTTGTGTTGACACCATGCAACCCTGGCATTCCAGTGGAAATGGTCAAAGTAAAATGTTCCCCTAGAGGAAAAGGGGAAAATATACACATATGTAAAACAAGTCTCTAGGACAGCTTTCTTCCACCTGCACAATATTGTAAAAATTAAAAACATCCTGTCTCTGAAAGATCCTGAGAAACTGGTCCACGCATTTGTTACCTCTAGACTAGATTACTGTAATTCTTTATTATCAGGATGTCCCAGGAAGTCTGTGAAAAGCCTCCAGTTGGTCCAAAATGCTGCATCACAAGTGCTGACAGGAACTAGAAGGAGAGATCATATTATTCCCGTCTTAGCTTCTCTACATTGGCTCCCTGTAAAATAGAATTCAAGATCCTGCTCCTCACATATAAAGCCCTTAACAGTCAAGCCCCTTCATATATCAAAGAGCTCATGACACCATATTATCCAAATAGATCACTTCGTTCACAAAACAGGCTCTCTTGTGGTTCCAAGAGTCTGTAAGAGTAGAACAGGAGGTAGAGCATTCAGCTACCAGGCTCCTCTCCTGTGGAACCAATTCCCACTCTGGGTTCAGGAGGCAGACACCATCTCTGCATTTGAAGTTAAAGTTAAAACTTTCCTTTTTGATAAAGATATAGTTAGTTCTGGATCAGGTGAGTCCTGAACCATCCCTTAGTTATGCTGCTGTAGGTCTAGACTGCTGGGGGAACTCCCATCATGCACTGAGCACTTCTCCACTTCTCTCTGTCTCTCTGCCCCCCCCACACTCATTTATTTTAATAAATGGTAAATGGTTGTATTTATATAGCACTTTTCTAGTCTTGAAGACCACTCAAAGCACTTTATACTACAGTTTGTCATTTACACATACATTCATACAGTGCTTCTATAGCTAGCACTTTTATTGTTGTTCTATGGGGCAATTTGGGGTTCAGCATCTTGCCCAAGGACACTTTGGCATGCAGATGGGAAGACTGGGAATCAAACATCCGACCTTCTGGTTGGAGGACGACCGCTCTACCTCTCAGCCACAACCCCTAACTGTGTTTCTTTTTTCTCCCATAATCCCTCTCGCTCTCATTGCAGATAACTCTGACTCCTGCAGAACAAAAACGATGATTATTATTATTATTAATTACAATACTTCAGTAATTTATTATTATATGAATTGTTACTGTTATCAATAATAATCAATAACTTCATTACACTGTTACTGATTACATTTTAGCTACTCAGACCTTTTGACACCTGATGGTGCTCAAGTGTTCCTGGTCTCTCTCGCCTCTCTCCGCATCCGATTCAAGACGATGGTGCTTGCCCTCAAGGCCGTCAATGGAACTGCACCCGTCTACCACCAAACACTGGTCAGACCACATGCCCAACGAGAGCACTTCGCTCATCTACATCAGCTTGCCAACTGGTACCCCCATCGCTGAGAGCAAACAAAGCCCGCTCAGCGAAGTCGCAACTCTTCTCTGTTTTGGCACCTCAGTGGTGGAATGACCTCCCTGCAAATGTATTGAATTGAGCTGAATTGAAAAGCTGCTGATTACATTTTGTGGCTGGACCTTTTAATTACAACCCACAATTTTCTATTGTTATGGTGTAATTAGACAACAACAGTACAGTATATTACAACAAATTAGTTAGTGGACTCAAACACTTCACTACCCCTCCATCGGCATAGTGGTGAGTAGATAATGAGTATATTTTTATTTTTCGGTGAACTACCCCTTTAAGTTGAGTTGCTCCATGGTGTAGTGTCTGTAAGGTTGTTCTTCTTACTCCCCTTGATTTAACAAGGCCAATAAGTTATGAAAGGTTTTCTGTTCTGTAATGTATTTGTAGAGCGACAGGGTATGCTGATGTACTAATATGCTAGTGGGCTTTACACATTATCAAGGTGAAAACCTTACATTTCAATTCATGTTTAAAGGCTAATTGTCTTTTAATAACTTATATTGTATCTATATGTCATATGTAAGTACATGTTGTATTTGTTAAATGTTTGATTTTATTCTTGATGAGAAT